GAGAGAGGGAATGTGCATGGCAGAGAGAGAGTCAGAGTGTGCATGACAAAGAGAGAGACAGAGAGAGAGGGAGCGTGCATGGCAGAGAGAGACAGAGAGAGAGGGAATGTGCATGGCAGAGAGAGAGAGAGAATGTGCATGGCAGAGAGAGAGAGAGAGGGAGTGTGCATGGCAGAGAGAGAGAGAGAGAGACAGAGAGAGAGGGAATGTGCATGGCAGAGAGAGAGAGAGAGAGAGAGGGAGCGTGCATGGCAGAGAGAGAGACAGAGAGAGAGGGAATGTGCATGGCAGAGAGAGAGAGAGAGAGAGAGAGTGTGTGTGCATGGTAGAGAGACAGAGAGAGGGAGACCACCCTGGACAGGGTGCAGCCATGCCACGATCACCTTCTTCCAGCCCCCCAGAAACTCAGGTCATGGCACACAAGCATGCTCCACGCCAGTCAGGCCCACAGGTTGTTAGCATGTGGCTCCCAGCACTGCAGTCCGGCCAGCTGCCTACTGCGCCCTGAGGCTGGGCCCCAGGTGGCACACTTGTAAATCGAAGAAAGTGCATTTCATGCCAACGCTGTCACTCGCAGTGGAAGGACGGGCATCACAGGAGGGGAGTCAGGCCACGGTCATGCCTGGCAAGAGGGCAGCAGAGGGTGTCGTTGTCACTTCCAGGTGGACGAGCTCCTCTGCATGGTCCGGCCTCTCCTCCGCCCAGCCAGCGCCGACCTGTGTGGCCTGGGCACCTTCCGCCACCAGCACACGACATGGACTCTGTGCATCCCACAGCCCACGAGCACTGCCACCCCAGTTTACAGACAGGAAAACCGAGTTCCAGAGGAAGACCTGCTTAGATACAGTGACTAATCCTTAACTCCAGTCCCCCAGGGCAGAGCAAGGCAGGGGGTGGCAGAGGCTCACAGAAAACACCCCAGAATCAGCCTGTGGAGGCAAGGGGGCAGCCACAGCCGGGAGGAAGCCACGGGCAGCGCCCAATTGATTCGCTTTAAAACAATCGTTTCACCTGATTTTTGTATTTACCAGCATGTTCCTATACTTCAAACATATTTATAAAGAGTGTGGAAGTCTCCTTGGGGGCCAGCAGGTAGTATGGTGGTTAAGGCACTGGACTCCCACATGGATGACCGCAGTTCAAGTCCTGGACCTGGCAGCTTGAAAATCACACTGGGCACTTGTGCATGCACACCCAAATCCCAGGAGAGTAGGGGAGAAGGGACTGCAGAATGGCCCCTCTCCCTGGGGGGAGATTTCTCACTTTTCCCCTCACTGTCTCTCTCCAAAGAGTACACATGCCTTATCAAAAGCCTTAAAAAAAAGGTACAAAAAGATTATGTACTCGTAACACCTGTTGTCACACAAATGTGACAGCTAGCTGCACCATGCTGTTCCTTTTCAGTTTTACAAGCTACTCACACATCTGAGAGGCCCTCGCCTGTAAGCAGGGTCCTGGTCCTCCCATATTGCACCATTTTCTGTCCTGCAGACTGTCACCCTTCATCACCCAGTTTCCCGATGGGCGTCTTTACTGCTCCTGGTGGGTCGGCTGGTGTCACGGGTCCGGCAGTAACACCCACGCACATGCGCTGCTCCGGACGGACGAAGCCTGCGGGAAATTCTCAAACGTGGCCTGCTGGTTGAAAGCATTCACGTTAGTTTCCTGTTGCCACAGACAGGAACGGCACCTGCTGGACAGCGCCGCCTGCAGGTCAGAGTCTGGCAGGGCATGCCTGGATCCGTCCTCGGGTAAAACAAGGTCTCGCGAGGCTTAGCTCTCACTTGGAGTCTAGGGCAAAGCTATTTCCAAGCTCGTTCTTTTTCTTTTCTTTTTTCCAAGTGCCGGAGGGTGCATGCACTCTCCAGAGGAGAAGAGAGAGCGCTCTCCGAATGGAGCATGGCCACCCTGCCATCCTTCTCTCCACTTCTTTAGCCATTTTGGGTGCACACACACACCGGTCTGCCTGGTGTGTTTTTCAGGCCTCCAGGGCCAGGACTTGAACCGCGACCAGCCACGTGGGCTCTGGCTCCCAGTGCACACAGATTAACTCCGGCGCTGTGGGGCTGGCCCTCCAACCGTTCCTGACAGCATGGGGTTCCTTGTCGTAGAACTGAGTTTCTGACTTCAATTCTGTGTTCGTCTGTGCCAGAAGAGGCGCCAGGCAGAGTCTGACGAAGCAACGAAGGACAGCGTGCGGGGAGTGCCCTGGGTGCATGGTTGTCTCTTTCCTGGCCGCAGAAGCCACCCTCCTGAAGGGAGAAGCCGCTGCCCTGGGGTCTTCAGAGCCCAGCGCTCGGCACACCACTGCCCCCTGGTGGTCTAGCTGGGAACTCACTGAGCCGCCTCGCTGTCAGGTCTAAGCCAAGTCCTGAGCAGAGAGCAAGGAAGAGGCCCGGGGAATTGAAAACTATGCGATCCTGCTCCAAGAGTGCCTGAGTCCAATGGGTCCTCAGAGGCCATCTGGTCTGATTTCTCGGTGAAATCACGTCTAACAAAGGGAACCGCCAGGGAGCGCAGCAGGGAACCCTTATGTCTGGGATAAGGCAGCCCTCTGTCTGCAGCCCGGTTTGCTTCTCACCGGCTGAAAGACCCTGGGCCCGCGGCCTGCCCTCTCTGAGCTGGTTTCTACCTCTGTAGGGTGGAGTCTGGCATCGGACAAACGTTTCCAGTAATGCCAGGTGAGCTATGTGGGTCAATTCGCCTATTTAAAACCACCGAAGCAGCTGGCGTTGATTTAACCAGAGGAGAAGGGGTTTCCAGAGCAGAGCTACCCGGGAACCAGAAGCCCAGACAAGTACACTGAGCAGGAAGTTTACTCCTGGGATGTTTCCCGATTTGGGCCACCTTGTGGGTTTGGGGACTCCTCTGGCCAAGGGGCACAAAGAAGGTCCCAACGCATGGTGGGAAATCAGGTGGAAGACCCTCCCTGATTTAAGCTGGGGCCCTCAAGGGCCGGGCTCTCAAGGAAAGCAGCCCCAGAAGGACTCGCGGCCTTGGTTCGTCTCTCTTGGGCGGTCTGCAGCTCAAGCCTTGAGTTTGCACTGAGTCAGCCCTAGACCATCTCTGGCTCCCAGAAGAAGCAAATGGAACCCTTGGAGGGCAGTGCCTTTGACCCAGCCTCTGAGCAGCCACACACGTCTTTCAAGTACAGTGACCATGCTGCAGGGCGCGTGCGCTTGCCAGAGAGACAGAGCCAGACGGCGAGAAATCAACCCCCAGGGGATCCCATGCCACAACCCCTCCTCCTCTCAGGATCTTGGGCACACACACACACGCCCGGTGTGAGTTTGAGCCACTGTATCCGGGACTCGAACTGCGGTTAACTATATGGGAGCCTAATGACGTAACCATTATGCCATCTGCTGGCCCACTAAGATAGAATATAACTTTTTTTCTTAAGAATTATTTTATTTATTTGTTTGTTTGTTTTAACTTGACTAGAGAGGGACAGAGAGAGAGAGGTGAGAAAGCAAGCCACCAGGTCTGGACTCGAACTGTGGTTGGCCATGTGGGAGTCCAGTGCTTTAACCTCCAAACCAGCTGCTGGCCCCAGAATATAACTTTTTTTTTTTTTTTTTTGGAGAGGTTTTTGCTATAGGGCACGTGCGCTTGCCAGAAAGAGACAGACAGAGAGACAGAAAGCGAGAAATCACCCCTCAGGGGGGATGGCCATGCTGCAATCCCTTCTCCTCCATTCTCCTCTTGAGATCTGGGGCACGCACGCACACGTGTCCGGCATGAGTTTAACCACTGGGTCCAGGACTCGAACCACGGTCGGCTACATGGGAGTTCAGCGACATAGCCATTACACTAACTGCTGGTCCTAAATATAACTTTTAATAAAGGATATTTATTTTAAAACCTATAGCTAAACTCAGCCTTAACAGAGAAACACTGAAGGTTTCCACTCCAGTTCCCTAAGACAAATATTTTCCACTTTTATTCAACACTGCACTAGAATGTCCTGCCAGTTTCATAAAGCGATGGGAAGAAATCAACAGCCCTACGTCTGGGGAGGCAGCAGTCGCCGCATCCACCCGTGTGCCCGGCAGACCCTGTGGGGGCCTCCTAGGCTCCGCTCATCCACCCTTCCAAAAATACTGTTAAAATTAAAAGTGAACTTGTCAAGGCCACAGGGTGCTGAGTTAGTACGTCAGGTGAGAACCCATTGTTGGTATACGGGCCATGATCATCGGAAAACGGAACAAAAATCCTGCTCCCAGCAGTCACTATGGTCCTGTTTTTGACTGAGGTGCCAAGCCGGTTCAGTGGAGGAAAGACGAGACTTGCAGTTTATGGCGCGAGAGTCATTGGGTGCTGTCCTCCTGAAGGGAAGGCCGGGGCCGGCAGGCGGTGCGGTGGCCAAGGTGCTGGACTCCTAGCCGGCCGGCCGTGGTCTGAGGCCCACGCCCAGCAGCTCGAAACTCACATGTGCGTGCACGCCCAAAATCCGGAGAGGAGAATGGAGAAGGGACTGTGGCGTGGCCACACTCAGGGTATGCTTTCTCCCTCTCCCTCTCTGTCCCTATTCTCTCTGGGGAGTGCATGTGCCTTCTGGCAAAATTTTAAAATTACATAAAAATAAAACAGAAAGTTAAATATTTGGGGTCAGCTGATGGCTCAGCAGTAAAACAGAACGCCCTGCAAGGCTGACCCGCCCCAGAGGTCCCGAGTGCATGTCTTGGCTCCCCGAGGACATGGGCAGGCACGTACTCCCAGTCTGGGGCTGGCCTGCTCGCCCGTGTTTCCTGCCCCAGCAGAGAGCTTGCTCATCGTCCCTCTGGGGCCCGAGGCCCAGGCCCCGCGGCCTCCAAGCGGGAGCCCAGAACCAACGTGGAATCCAAATCCTTTCTCTGCTGCTGCCAGCCCGGTGAGCCGGGTGCACTGCTGCCCCAAAGTGGGGTCGTCGTGAACATCCAGGGGACAGAGCTGTTTCCCAGGCCTGGAAGGACGCGGGACAGGCCTCACGGACTGTCCTGGGGTGAGGGAGTGGAGCTGGGCCACCTCCCAGCAAGGCCCTCCCCTCCCTAGACTCTCCCTCAACCTGTCGGTTCTGCACCTGTACCACGGTCGGACACGACTGAGGACCGAGCACGTCAGGTGACCGCCCTGCTCCAGGGTGTCCCTACAGATTGCAAGCAGGCCTCTGATTCTGTCACCAGACAGTCCACCCCCTCCCCATCCCGGCCCGCCCTCCTATGGCGGCCCGCCCCCTCTCCATCCCAACCGACTGGACTCGGTACTTCTCTGGCTGGCATCAGCCTCCTCCCTATAGCCCTGCCTCCCCCCTTCCTCCCTGCGCTCCACCCCGAC